CACCATTGAAACTCAAAACATACATATAACTGTCGTCATTGGCTATAATTTTTGGTGTTTTTGGCGGCATGGAAAAAATGATTTTCTGATTTGTGACTTGTGTTCTTTTCGTCTTCGTTTTTAACATCTCATAAATAATAACATTTTTGCCAATTAAAACAGCAAACAAGTTGCGAAACACAAAAATGGTACACTTTTCCAATTGGTCGTATTATTATTGACCATAAATATGCCGTAAATGTCGTCGAAAGTATTCGTGCCGTCAGTGTGCATGGGATGACCCCCCGATGAATATCAAAAGATCATTCCAGAAAAGCGCGACTCTAATTTGCATATTAAAGAACTTTTAAATGAATGGACCAAACATTATGCATATGAATTTCATAGTCAATTTCGATATATACAATACACATCTTTTTTTTTGTTCTTCTTACTCGGTGGATTATGGCTATGAGAGGCTTTTATGTTTAGTTTGTACACAGAATTTTGTGTTGAAATGACATGTCAAAAGAAAGCATTCTTTATTTATTATATTATGAGAACGACAAGATGCCGAAACCTCTGCTTGTCACTTTTGCACTTCTCTCTCTCTCTCATCATCATCTCTCGGTGTGTGTTTATGATGGGGCCAACAGTATGGCAAACTTGTCTTACACCAAAATGTTTTTTGTTTATTATTTTAAATTCATGCGATTTATTTAAAAGTGACAATTAAGTATTTCACTATTCAAGATTTCTCTCCGATTGAAACAAATCTCATAACTAATTTTACAGCTTATATATTTTCGCATTGAATTCAATTAATTAAAATAAAAAAAAATGTTTTGATTTGAGGCGATTGTGGAAAAATATCGAATTACTGGCCGATCGAAACGATAAAATGCACATATTTTTGGTGAAATAACGTGCGAATCTCACATTTCGAATCATTCTGGTCTGGTCGGGTCTGAATGAAAAAAGCGCATGAAATTAGTAAAACTGCTGGTGTATACGGTTGAAAATTCACAGACCTGTCACATTTAATTGTGTTCGAAATTATTTCTTAATGTGATCATATGGCCACACATAAGTGCACACGACACATGCTCACAAACGCACGACATACACACACACCGCTGGTCTCTCTCTCTCACACACACTCGTCCAGAATTCTTGGAATTTTCCGTGCTTATTATTTCGCTGACCATTCGTTATTATTGCCGTTATTATTCCTATAATATTTTTCACATTTGTTTGAACAAAAATAATAATAAAGTTATATAGAAATGTGAATTAATGCATTTGGCCATCGAGCAAAAAGTGTTCAGATTAATTTTCAATCCATTCGAAATTGAAATGTTGGTGTTTTCGATGGCATCGTCGTCGATGTCTTCGATAAAAGTCCATTTGGTTCTGGGCTAAGAAAAGTAAAGAAAGAAAACTGGTATTACTACATGGCCATTTATATCATTCTTATTCAAATATACCATTCTTTTTCCATCTTATCTCGCTTGCATTAAGCTGTGTGTCCGAAGCAGAAGGCAAAAAGGTGAACGAAACAAGTGTAGATATGTGGAATGCAGTCAATTGCAACATTTCAACTCTCAATCGAAACCGTTCGATAGAATCAATGGCCAAATGATTTGAGACACACAGAGACACATACACATTCCATTTGTGTCCAAAATGAAGGTGATTTTATATACACAACTCTTTTCTCTTTTTTATTTTCATTCTAAATTACTTCGACAGAGAGATTTAACTTTTTGAAGCTTGCGACTGTGTTGAAACAAGGTTTGCTCGTATTTATACACTTGTTTTTCAAATGCATGTGTCTAATTATGTGGTAATTTCTATTCAGAATCACGAGAATATTTATGGAAATGGCGGTTTAAATTCCATAAACAATGTACCATCATGCGTTCAAATCGGTTTTGAATGACAAAAACAACATGCAAATCATACGAAGAATCTCATCGTTTTGGAAGATGACTGAAACTGATTATACAATGCACGAAGATAAATAATTAATAACAACGATGGAACACACACGTAATGATAACACATGAAAATATTGTCATCATTCTAAATGTGATTTCTTCATCGTTCCCATTTAAACCAACGACGGAAAATAACAATAAACTCACCGATTCGTGGAATGTGGCCACAAGTGAATTTGAAAACGATAAACTTGAATCATTCCCAAAATCAAGTTAAACGAAACAAATACGTAAATTATGGTGAACGACTTTTCGAGTAAGTGAATGAAAAATGAACCAAACAATGTTATTTGTGAAACATGTGTATTGAATGCAATGAATTATATTCTTTATACCTATGTTTTTTTTTCTCATTCAATCGAAATGAGAGGAAAATGCTCATATCTTGCTAACAGTGCTAAGTAAACGAATTACCGCTATAAAATAGCTTATAAATTCTCATTTCAAAACCATATTTAATGTTATCGCGCACACAGTCTCTCTATCTTTCTATCGCTCTGTTCCTTTCCGCGGACGAGCAACACTCGACAATAACAATGTCATCACGCGCGCGCACGCATGCACGCATACACAATCTTATCCGGAACTATTATAATACATCATGATCAACCGGATATTACCTATTATATTTGTACCATATATCGGTACAATGCGCGCATATGAATGCAATTGTTTCGATTCTTTGTGTGTGTCATTCTAGCCGGGCCCGCCATCACTTCGCATATTCTCTCTCACTTTGATGTGCAATGTTGAGTGTGTTTCGGTTCCATTGCGGTGGAAATGGAAACATGAAAGAAAAACAACCAACTGTATAAAATATGATCCGCTACATTCCAAACCGATTGACAATAAATAACACTTGCGTTTATTTATCGACACCAAGTTAAGTTGAACGAGCGAATGAGTTCAACGAGTGTGTGACAATGAAGAAAATGCTAAATGAAAGATCTTGAGCGCATCGGCGTCGTCGTTATCTTCCACATCAAACCATTCGATACAACAGCTTCTTTCATAATCACTACACTCTTATATCGGTGGTATTAATATTTAGTATTTTGGGATTTTCAGCTACGATTAATCCAAAAGGACTAAAAAGTAATCCAATGGGATCATTTTATATTTTTTAACTTGAGTTCAATAAACACTTTTTTGTTGTTTGTAAAAAAATATCTCAAAATGAATCTTCCTTTGGAACACTGTTTCATATTGTATTGACATTTACATGAAACTTCAAATGCTTGTCATTTTCATTCGATTGCAAACATAACCTTTCACGGTCTTATGTTTATTGTGTAAATCACGTGCACCTTTGTCGAAAAAACTAAATTTTGTTTCTGTTGGAATTTCGATTAGTTTGTTTATTAGAATATAATTCTCAATAGAATCCTTTTTTCCATCGCTTCTGTGCAATTTATTAGATTTCTGATAAAATGTTTTATAGCTAGTGAAAACAAAGTAAAGAATTGATTAGCGAATGGTTTTCAATAGAATTTTGGGTCGGTTCGTATCAATATCAACATTCCATGTCAAAACCGCTTTTGTGTGCTCAGTGATTTTTTTTCAAAAGGGTAACATGGCAAACATTTTGCAAAATTTTCAAAATCCATCAGAATCTTGAACAACCGAAACACTATCGTAAAATGCGTGTTGACGAAAGATTAATTTTTGCTGACGAATGATTTTCAATAAGATTCTTTTGCATCGAATATCAACATAAATTCCGTATCACACCTTTGGGAGTGTAATTTAGCGAACATTTTGTCAGCATTTGAAATCGGACTGCAGAATTATGAAATTGTATTTATGCAAGAGTGAAATGAACGCATTGATATTTGTTTATTGTGAACCCGTTCGATCACATGAATCGGTGATTGTATATTTTGATAAATTTTTAGAGGCCTGTTTTTAAAATACCAGGAACCTATAAATTCATCAACAATAATACATTGCTAAATCAACCAATTTCTGAGTATAATTAATAAAATTATTTGATGGCATGCATAGTCTATCATAGTCATTGTAGTTTTTGATAAATATAACAGTGGCCTGAATATTTTTAAACCGGCACTTTTATATTTATCAAAATATATTTTGATTATTCATCAATATTTCGAGGTATAAATATCGGTGGAGATTCCAATACGTTAACAGTTGCTAAAAATGAGCGGTCGCAAACGGAATCACGAATCGGCGTTTAAGCCACGAAAAAAGATAAAAATTAAAGAACACCAAACAATTAAAAAAAGTGCTCGAAAAGGTTTAAAAGTGAATCTGCCCATTAACACTGGAAAATTTGCTCAGTTGATTGACGTATACGTATTAGAAATGACACGGTGCTACATATTGGGTGCACTGAATTTGCATTATTTCACCAGTGATCATTTCAAGCGCAGTACAGACGAGCAAATCGAAGCATTCTATACTTAATTCGTCGACAAAAATTTATTTCGAGATTGGTTTTACGGCGTTCAGTTCATTGAGCATGCATTTAACGACGCCAGAGAAAGCGGGTACAGGTTGTGTTACGGCATTTGGTACTATTGCCAAAAATACGGTGTTCGAGCTCCAGTAATTAAAGGATTCGGGAATGTAGTTGAATACGCAGTACAAATGTTTTATACAAATTACAAAAATAATATTTGTATGCACGCTCACTCACGCATCCGAAAGTTTTTCACACATCAAAACGCGAGCAAAGCACAAATTGATGACACCGTGGATTTCTTATTCAAGCGAAACTCCAACTCTGTGCCAGACCTGAATTTGATGTGGGAACTGGAAAATACATTAAAGCCAATCCGATTCGACGATGGGAAAGGGTACTTTTTTGCTATGGAAAGCAATTGGTTCAAATACATACCAATATTCCTGAATTTGCAACAGTGAGTTTTCGTTCATTTATTATTGTGAATCAAACGATTGTATTTTTTATGCGATTTTTTTCCATTTTGAAAATTCTACAAATATCACACGAGTAATTTTATCAATTTATTTTTTGGAAAATATACAAAAATGGGTACATTCGCAATCATGAACGTGAACGAAAAGCCGCATTGAAGCGAGGTGAACGAACCGAGCTTCGTGAATACAGAAATTTCACCGTGGTACCAACGTCATCGTTCGAAAGACATTACATTCGAATTGATCGTAGAGTGTTTTATCGCATGTTGAGACAGATAGAATGTCCACATTGATTATTTCGCAATAAAAACGGCGGCCCAAAACAGGAGCAAGACATCAAAAGTAAAGAATGGGATGTATTATGGCGTCTGTATTTCGACATCGATAGCATCGAAAGAGAACCGAGAAACAAAAATGATGGCCATGCAACAATAAAATTCGACAACTCCATTCAAACAGATGGTGTCGGTATGTCATTTTTGATGGAACGAACAAAATTCATCATTGAAAAAGACGATGAAGAGCGTATGAAAGAGACACAAGAGATGCTTCTGAAAAGCCAACAAGTGTATGGTCTCGATCCTGGACTACGTTTGGTCATTGGTGGTGTGCGCATTAACAATTTCAACGATCGAAATAATCGCACTGAAACAATCATTCGATTGACATCGGGCCAATACCAAGATATGATAAATTCATCGCGACGGAACAAATGGCGCAAAAAGTTGACAATTGAAATCGATGAAAAGATGCGTCTACATCGTGAGTCATTTGATGAGCAGCCTGGTCCACGAGCCGAAGATTGATCATATTTTGCGTCATTTTGAAGAAAAGTTCACAGCATACACACAGTATGAATACGCTTTGCAAGCATTTCTCCAGTACATTGACACGAATAGAGCACTTGATGCATATGCAACCAAGCTCATCGATGGTAAGCAAACGTTCATATTTGTCGGTGATCATTTCATTGCGGCAGATTCACCAGCCCTAGGATATATTCGATCGAAGGTGCGAGATTTGTTCGAGAAGTTGAAACGTCGCCGTAAATGTACAGTGGTCGAGGTGGACGAATTTCGGACGACCAAATTTCGGACGACATATGTTCGTTGTGCTTCCGTGAACTTGAAAAACCGACAAAAAGAGGCAAAGTAAAGGAGAAATATCGCTATCTCACATGTCATGGACAGTGTTTCATATATCGCTATCAGTATCCGTCCACGTATGGCATCAAAATTTCGTAAATATGAAGAGAAAACTCGAATTGGGCGTACTATCACCTGGAATCGTGATGCAAATGCAGGTCGTAACATTCTCTACAAAGGTTTGTGTTTGTTAAATTGATATGCTCTCAGTTTAATATGAACAAGTCAATGAACAATAGACAATGAATTCGGTTTTTTTTATTCCTTACAAACAAACCGGATGGTGTGCTGTTATGAATATAGAGCTACATCCAGCATTTCAACGGCATGTTGAAGAAGAAGAAGAAAATGCAGGAGGAAGAGATCCACCGCCAGCACCACCAGCACGAGCTCGACAATCAAGACGAGCAGCATCCAATCAAGTATGTAATCATTTCAATAATTCTGCTTTGAATTTATCTAATCAATTGAAGCTACACATACTTTTAATTTACGTTCATATTTAGAAATTGATATAATCATTTTCATTTTCAGAATCAACAAACAACACAACGAACATTGCGTTCTCATCTGGATCAAGCGCGGAGCTCTCGGCCGTAAGCCCTGGGTTTTGTGCGGGATTTCAACGTGGTCCTACAATTCGCTACAATTAGTAAGTATTTAAATTTAATCCTACAGTGCTAAAATTTAATCCTTTTGGATTATTTTGATGAAAAATCCCAAATGATTAATATTTAATCCCTTCTATTTTACAGTGTACCTATTCCATATTTCAATGAATGCATTCATACACATGTGTATTGTTTCGTTGGTTTTTTTAAATGCATTTTTAAATGTCTCAATCCAAAAAAGAAATACAAACAGTTACACGGCAATATGCAATATTTATAAATGGACATTTTGTAATGTATCGAAATACAAAAAATAAAAGAAGAAGTCACATGAGAAGTTATAATCAATTTTGTTTTCTAAAAATTACAAATGATCGCCCGACATCCATTCATTTTCAACCTGCAAAACATTATATCGCGGCAATTTTTAGTCGTGATTTGGCGATTCATTTGAATTTCGATCGGAAACCCTTTCTGAGCAGCTTTCTCCGAAAGTATTTCACTTCCCGGAACCACAAACATTCGTTTGTATGTATGTCGGTGTCTGACGCAAACCATTTCAATTCAAATTGAATATATGCTGATGAATGGACATAAACAATGGCCATAATTGGTGTTAAATGGCCGTTGGGGTTCAAATGTAATTATGTGCTATTTATTTTTCTTTTATTTTTAATTCACACATTCAAGCGATCATTGATCGTTTTTCTTTGGTCAAATACGAGAGAAAAAATCCATTGTATAACTATTCGAAAGTTCATTCAAATCGAATTTTTACCAGTGCAAACAGCTTTTCGAACTGTATTCAACTTCCACAAAGAAAAATAAATGGCATTTAGATGTTTTCTTCAACAGTCAGAAATATTTATTCGCTTCATTTTTTCCATATAAAAATAAAATATTTATGCAAACAAATGTAGGAGACATTCAATTTTTGTGGTGAAAATATTCTTCGCTCATACACATTTTCAAATGATTGAAACACACACATGAACATTCTTCAGTACAAAAAGAAGATCAAAATTCCATTCGCGGATACGACCACAATGACAACATTTAAGCTCATAAACACGCACACAAAAGAAGAGAAAAAAAGGTAAGGAAAAAGAAATATTTTCATAAGTGTGCGGCGACCACCATGAGATCAGCTGTAAGCTCTTGGGATGACTTTAAATTTGAAATGTTCTTGCGCATACACATGAAAACTCACATACACATTAACGTTCAAATTGATATCGAATAAAATATTAGAAAGAAAAAAAGCATAAGCGAAAAACGAAGAATGAAGAAAGAGAGAAAAAGAAAAAAAGCAGCAACTATGCGCAATGCGCACAATACTGAATAGTCAAAACTGTTCATCGACCATACATATGCAGTATGCATGAAATCCGAATCCAAAGATGTGAATTCGCTCGAAGCACACCGCATTACGTATATGTGTACAGATTTTGTGTATCGAAGCGATAGTTCGGTTTTCTTTTTATATAGAAATGCAAACACACACCGAACCAGCGAAACGAGGATCGACACAAATACCTTAGTCTACTAAGAAAAAGACTATGGTCTTGCTGTGCGCGAACGGAACGAAAGAGCAGAAAAGACGAAAGACTCGAAGAAGAAGAAAAAAAAAGAGTCGAAGAACGAGGAAAATTGTGAATGAGTGAGAAACTTGACTGTATTATTGTTATTACTATTAACATTCCAACGGCACGAAGCTGAAACGAACTTGAATTCGGCATGTCGACATACTCTCTATACTAACGGAGCTATTGTGCGATTTGCTATTTGCACATAGGGTTCAAGCAAACAAATTCATCATTTGGCGAAAAAAATGCCACCCGAGAAAAATGCATACCATCAAAACTTGACCAAATTCGAACAATTACATGTTATAGGCATATCAATGGTGAAGGTGGACAATGGTGTCATTGCAAAATATGTGCAAATTGGACAACCCTATACCTGCTCAATACACACAGTGTATTCAATGGCATAGTACACTTCGCATGTGTGTTCGGTGTTCGCACATACAGACATTTACAGTGTGTATGGCAAAGATGGCCTTAGGCTACAATAATATAATAATATCTGTGTGAGTGTGTGAGAAGACATACAGGCATTTTATTTCATTTCACAGTGCGCGCGGATGATGTAAAATACGAACATTTTTTTAGTAGTTACTGAACAACCTTTGGACATTTCTGAACTGCGATTGTTTTTTTCATTCTCATTTGCGACGTAGACTTCGAATTATCAGTAAGTGCACTGTTAAGTCGCCTGCGTCTTCTACCTCATCAATACACAACATTCATCAAACAAACAAGAAAGAATACATATACCACCGCTCCGGAATTTTCATTTTCAATTTGTTCAATTTTACTTTAATCAAGTAGTGCAAAAAAAATATATAAAGAATTTCTGTTTTTGGGGTTCAAATTCACATCGATCGTCAATCTGCATAATCGTGATCGCCAGGATTTTTGTTGTTATTGGAACAAATATTGTGATTCAGTTTGATGTTTGCACGTAAGAATTATTTTACTATTTTTGTTTTAATTCATATTTACAAAAAAAGAGACCAAATTCAACAAATAGAGAAGATTCTTGTGAAACTTTTTTCATCGGTAGCCATCAAAAAAACCAGCGAACGGATAAGAAAATGAAATATACACACACACATACGACAAAGAAAACTGTAAAAACTGATATGTCATAGTGCAAATAAATAGGCACGAGTTTAGTGAGTGATTTAAATTGTAATTGATTGCGCAGAAAAAAAGTCCCAAATACATAAAGCCTATGTACATACAGGAGAGTTGAATTCAAATAGATTTCTCAGGCCTAAACCGACGATAAACTCGGGTAATTCACTCTTTCGCTCTCTCTCTCTCTCACACACACACATACACTTTGTATGTCACATATGCCTACTATATTTTTGTCGCCATTCCTATTCATCAAAGATAAATTATTATTATTTAAATGGAATTTAGTGGAGACGATTTTTGCTGTTGCTAACCGAATAACCGAAATTAAAACACACAGACAAAGAGACACACAGAAATTTCAGTACAGAAAGCATTTGTTTGTGTGTGTGTGTTGAAAAAAAGAGAAGGAAATACATATAGACTAATGATGAACATTGCACAATTCACGATTGTGACGAGTTGTAGAATAAAAAAGAAACATTTTCTTCTTTTTGGCCTTTTCATGTCGAAATTGTTCGTGTTCCCCGTTTGAAGTAGAAGTAAAATTATAGCAACAACATCAACTGGCAATATATTCGCAGACGGTTAATTTTATTGCTTGTCTGCCTTGGAAACGAGCTAAGCATTTGAATGTATTTATCATTTAATTATCCACGTTTTGTTAAATGGCTAAGCAAATATTCGAAACATCATAGGCGTTAAACGGCTCTACATTTTTGCGCATCGCAACTATTTTACATTTAACATCGTCATCAAAATACAATTTTTTTCATTCATTTTTTCTCATATTTTTTTCCAACGAATTGTTCCCTCCTTTTGTTCATTTGTTGGTAATTTTCTTTCGGATGTCATTTGATCAGTTTTTTTTTATTGTGTGTACTACTGCTCAGTCCGAGCCTACGCATTTAAACCATGTCTTCATCCATAGGAACGGTTGTGTCCCTGTCACGTCTGACTGAAGTTATATCAAAGTGGCGAAGAAAAAAGTGCAAATTGTTTCGCTAGATTCACCGTTTCCTTTTGATCGTGAACGATATCATAGTTCGTTCAATGAAATGGCGTTTGCATGAATAAAGTCGTCTATTGATAAAATAAAATTGAAAGAACTTCAACTTTCAATTGTGTCGTCTATTAAAAATGTTTCACATTTCCGCGTTAGAAAACAACAAATTTCGTACAATAAACTTTTCGAAAGAAGTCTTCTTATTCATATGTTGCTTGCACAAAGACAACATGAAGTGCGTGAGACACTGAAAAGGGACAAACAATCTTATAGACAAACAAGAAAGGAGAGCAACAACCAGCATTCGATTTTGTCTGCGTCAGTACATGTGTATATGTATACATAAAATTTATGGCAAAATATATGTAAAAAAGGCGTAGAAGCAAAAAAAAAACGCGATCACTTTTACATGAAACATTTGAACTATGAAAACAAATACTGATACAGAATTTCCATTTGTTTGACTTATTTTAAGAAATTACATAAACGCGATGACCTCAAAAGACGTAAAAACGAAGGCGATCTAGCAGCAGCAGCTAAAGCGCGCAAAAAAAACCAACATAACGAAAAGTAAAGAAGATACACACATATTGTTGATTGTCGAAAATTGAGCGTTGCCGTGTGCATTCTGTCTCTCTTTCTCTCATTCGAAAAGGTTTATTTGAACGTTGTTTTCTTTCTTCTTCTTTTTTTAAATAACATCAATAAGAAATATTTTATTTTACTTTCTGGTGTTGTAGTCGTATATCGTTCGTATATATGCCCAATCAAGCCGACAAAAACCTTAGATCGAGAGAGAGAGAGAGAGAGAGAGAGAGAGAGAGAGAGAGAGAGGAACGAATGAAGAGCAATGAATAAGTCCACACATAGCACACAGAACTTCAAACAAAAATGTAGCTTATATGAAATATACGCCTTTTTCATGTAATATGTGCTGTTGCTGCCTTTGTGTACCGCGCAAAATAAATGATTTAGCACACGCGTATACGAATACCAAATTCGAGCACCATAAACTGAACTCGGTTCAACAATGTGTGTGTACGCAGTACTGCTGCTGTTGTCGTCGTCGTCGTCGTCGTCGTTGCGATACCACTTTATGTGGAATGTTCGAATATATATATATAAATATATAAATTGCTTGAAACCCGTTGATATCGAAAGATAGAGAGATTCTAATCCATTGCTAAAACTTCTATGCTACTAAAAAGTATGTAAGAATGCGATAAGTAAGAGAAGAAAACAGCCACCACGGAATAGAATTAGAAGTGATAATTTACTTATTCTTTTCTGTGCAGTTTCGTCTATGCGAACCGTTTTGTTTCTTCGTTCTTTCTTTGCCACTTCTTGTACTTCATCGTAGTAGTCGCCGTTGTCTTGATTTCAGTCGACGGAATCATTCGTTCTCTCTGTGTTGTGCAATATCTCTTGTTTTTCGACTCTTTCTTTTTTTCGAGTTCAATACGGATTGTTGCTGTACCATTGCAGACTGTATGTGTATGTGCGCCTCACTGCATCAATGCTTTTCTCTCTTTCTCTTTCTCCCTTTCTCCGCTAGTTCAACATCAAGTCATATCGTTATTATTTATTTAATTTTTATTGTGTTTCAATATTCGTTCTCATGTGAATCAAATGTACTAACTGTCTCTCATCATCAAGTAATATGTGTGCTTTTGTACTTGTTTTCTTATTATGTCGAGTGTGTGTGTATCTATGTATGTTCTTTTTTTCATTTCATTCCTTCGCTTATTCGCATAATAGCGATGGATTCTTTAAAATTAACTGTTTTGTTCGCGTTCCAGACATATATACGCAACAAAACATACCTTGTTAAGGAGTGTCCCGTAAACAGGAAAGGTCATTTAAGAATTGTAGACCAACTTATCTTATAAAATATTGAAACTCAAGTGAGAGCACATTGCATTTTTGAGAAATAAGTTCTTTTTAATAGCAAAAAGAGGGAACATTGATATTCAGCTTTTCAATGGATTCGGTCCAAATACAATAGACTAATAATTTGCCGTTCGACGCACTCAACATATCTGTATACAGTAAGAAAAAACATGATATTTTTGTTTGTTGTTCTTCCAATCATGTCTTTCATTCAACGAAAATGAATATTTGAAAAGTAGTTAACATGTGTGTGTGTGTGTGTGTGTGGCTCTTCTGCGACGCTGTAAAATTATCAAATTGCGCATAATTTAAGAACAATAACAGTTGAAACAGAGAACAAACAAAGTTTACATTGACAACAACGTATTATAAGAGAATAAATATGCTAGGGGGGAGACACCCGCAAATCCATTCACCTTTTGTGTCGGATTTGTACGATTAGTATGATTACAAAATTTTACAAAGATTCACATTCGATTCAATTTTTGATTTAAATTGCTATAATTCCAATGATTTGCACAGATTCACAGATTTGTAAAGATCCACAGATTCATTAAATATTCACATTTTTCTGTTTTTCCTTTTGACGTACAAACGCATGTTGATTTTATAGAAAATAAATATGCTAGCAAATATGAATTAAAATAAACACAACAATTACTCAACAATCAACACATTTTAAATTATTGACAAAGTGACTTTATCAAAGTCTCTATGATTCATGAGATTCTTCGGATCCTTCGGATTCTTCGGATTTGTGAGTTTTGTGTTTTTTATTATAATTCTAATGGAATCGTTGGAATCAATGAAATTATACAATTGAGTATTTTAACATAGATTTTTCATTTTGAATTGGTGTCTACCCCCTAGTAAATATGGCCATAACAAGATCTCAAGCAATGGCAGCGAAAGAACGAAGGAAACCCGTCTGCGCAGAAGCACAAAATCTCAATTTATGAAACGCACAAATCAGGTTGTAAAAGGGAACATATATACGCGTACTCACACAAAGCGAACAACAAAACAAAATGTTTAAATAAAGAACAAGACACTTCCCTATTCCGTGTATATCGTTTGAAATAATAATAAATGTGCCGAAAATATGCTCATTCCATAATTTCAATTGCGTTTCTCTGCTCTATTTTCCCATTTCGGCAAATGTCTCATTGATTCACTCGCTCGCTGTTAATGTGTTACCGCGCTCCATTATTTTTTACTTAAAAATGATTCGCCCAAGTGCCTTTTTATTTTCTCTTCGTATTTCATTTTCACACACTCTCGCATAATTTAGACAGACTTTTTCACTTACTCTCTCTCTCTTTCTCGCTCTCTCGCTCTTTCAGTCACTCTTTCTTTTCCCATTCATGGGATAAAAAAAAATATATTGATGCTTTGTGTTTCAATGCAGTTCAGTAAATGAATAGATTTATATATGTAAAGAAGAAATTTCTGTAAACGATTTTCGTTTTCGTTTGAATTTCGCATTTATATATTTTCCCACAATCGAAATGCTCATCAAACGCGAGAGAGAGAGAGAGAGAGAGAGAGAGAGAGATGAGGGTCAGACTGAAAAACCAAATAAACATTCAGCTAACTACAAGAGAAATATTTTACATTCAGGGAATTGCTTATTTTTGTGCCTGTGACAAAATAACAACAATGATGACAATTATCATGTTAGATTTCTATGTTATGCTACAGAAATTGTTATAAAAAAATAACGAGGTTAAAATTGAACAGTTTACACTGGTTCAAAACAAAATGGGGTCCAGTGTAGATTTTTTTAGCAACGGACCCGTCGCCAAGCCGAAAATCAATCGAATTTTTGTTGCTCGGTTTTCAACCGAATTCCATTGATCGTTCGATTTTATTGGATGTGTTCGTACCTTCCAAGAAAATCAACAAACACAATAACAAAGATTAGCCATAAGCCTCATCCTGTTTCTCTCTCTCTTTTCTCTCTCTCTCTCGCTCCGCATCTTCGTCTTGTGTCGGCCAGTTCTTTTCGTTGTTTCGTTGTTGCATATGCCTAAAAATCGAATGCATGTTATTTTCGTGAAAGTATCATGTTGTCGTGTTTGATTCATGTTTATGTTCAAACAAATTGTAAACTATTATGATAATAGTTAATAAATTGAACGGTCTCAAATACAGTCAAGTGGATGTGAATGCGTTTCATGTGAGCCGCTGCACTGTGTGAACTCTGTTGATAAGCTTCTTTAACCACTTTTATTGCCCGAGCAAACAAATATAAAAAAAATACAGAGAGACATAAAGAAAGAGAAAGAAAAAGTAAAAACTGAAGAAAAAAAATAAATGATTGGGTATACCACAACTACAATACCAAAATCACTGATACCATAGCGTTTTTATCATACAACACACAAGAGAAAGAGAACAACTTGCATATATATTTGGTATTTATTTCAATTCCATGGAAACGATCACGAGAGAAAAGAAGGACCAAAGAAGAGGAGTGTGAGAAAAAAATATATAAATGAAATTGTAACGCCGATTGGCATACATTCCCAAGTGCAGTGAAATTTGTATTCCGATGAACTAAGTGATGATTGACACACAGGCAAATTTAAAATCAACCATTTACTGTGCGTGTGTTTGTATTTGGTGTGTGCGTTTTGTTTCTTCTTCTTCTCTTTTTTCTTCAAAATGCACACGCATTACAGAACGCACTTACAAATACCAATATTCGGAAACGACCTCGACTAGACTCTGTCGTAGTTAGGGGCCCTACGAAGTATATATCTTGTGTGCACAACCGGAGTCGCATACCAATGCAGAATCTTATGTGAACGACAGAGATAAAAGAGTGCAGTTGGAATTTTTTTGTTGCTGCTACTACTGCTGCTGCTGCACACATACCAACACGCATACAAACACACTCCCCAGGAGAAAGAATAAAGAGGCACAAACACACACATACACACACACATATTGAAAGAATGAAAAATAGAGAACGCACGGTACAATGTGCGGTGCGCACACTCGTTTGTTGGTGAACAAGATGCGCAACAGAATGTTTTGTCAATCGTTTGCGCTCTCAGTTCATTCGGTTTGGCATCAGGAAGTAATAACACGTGGTTGATCAGGGAAAATGGCTGTATTTTTGACTAACTCTCGTGCGTGCGTCTCTTATATTTTTGTTTGTAAATTTCAAAAAAAAAAGTTTCACAAGTTTCAGTTCAAATTAGAATTTTTTTTATTAAAAAAATTTAATGTAATTTTCAATTTATTTTCTTTAATTCAAGGGACCAAATAATTGAAGCCAGAAAATGCTTGAATTTGCGCTCTCCGAGAAATGTGTACCGACCTCATGTTCAAATCTACTGTAAGTACCATTTTTTTTAAAAATTCGTTTCACTTTAGTTTTATTGGTTCATCTTTCGATTAAACTAAAAGTTAATTACACACATTACAATGATAAGGCAAAGCTATCACATTGAAAAAAATATTCAACGCGGTTCGTTTAATGTCTTCGATAGCGGTTAAAATGTTTAGAGACAGAGAAAAAATAGTTATGGAAGAAATACCCAAGCAACATTATAAAGATTATACGTCTTTCTTGATTCTAACTTATATTTATTGATTTTTCTATTCAATAGGTCGGAACATTTTTTCTTTTTCTCTCTCTGTCTCTCTTTTGTTTCGTGCCTTTTTTGACTAATAAAATATATAAAATTATCCGGAATAAAGAATAAAAGAACGAAAATTAAAACACATATCAAATTGTTCGAAGGTACCAATACGTTCGTATAACGGTATTGTAGTGATGTGCCATCTTTAAATGTGGTATTGAAAAGAATTTAAGACAAAAAAAGAACTCGAACAGCACACCACAGTGAAATGTGGCATACAGTGTGTATGGCAGAGCAGCGAACGACGTAAAGCACATTTACAATGTGCTGAAAATGCGCATTCGATTCCAACTTACTGTTATATGACGACGATTAACTGCCACGAATAAACATCAATGGCATGTGCATTAGTTGAACGAATATAATTTGTAATGAAATCGACCTTAGTGCTATTTCATGAATGAAAATAGAGAGACGGTTTTCTATGTATCGTTCTATTCGGTTGACGTCAATTTTTATTCTATCTCTCTCTCCCCCCTCGCTATCGGTGTGCCTTTTTTCCTTTTGTAGAGCGTTGCATTTACTCAAATTCATCCGATTCAATAAATTTCATCACATTGTGAATATGCATACACGTTCGAATCGAATATTAAAGCAATGTGACAACGCATTCCAAAACGAGAGAATGTTGCATTCTATTTGTATTGCGGCAACATTATTTGAGGAAAATAAAAGATACTTCCACAGAATATGAGTGTGTGTACGCACACAAATGATATTGGTTTCGGCTTTAGAAACGGCACTTCGCTGTCGGCAACAAGAGGCACACAAGACATGACAAGAACATTACAAGAAATGTGACAAACAACTAAAAAGCCTATTCAATAAACGACAAACGTCAGCATGACGATGGGATTTTGGTTCCGTTTCTATTTGTCTCTCTGTCTCTTTATTTTCACCTCGTACACCGAAAACAGCAACAAATTCTATTCTATTTTCGCTGTGCTCTTCTCTCTTTCTCGTACGTCGCCATGAAAACGAAAATAAAATCAATTCAATGTTCACTCACATCATACCAAATGATCGTGTCGGCGTGTTGAGGAGTATGAGTATCGTGGCACATATGCGTGCATGTATATGCGCCTGTGTATATGTGTGCCTGAGGAATGTATGTGATATGCATGCGTGCGAATTGGCGGCTGTGATAAAGTTCAACGAACTTTTCAGTCAGTCTCATTTCGTTCATATCTTTTAGGTTAGGTTGGCTTTTTTCTCTCACATCGTCGCCGTTATCAGAATTCTTTATTGCTTTCACTGTTGTTTGATTCATTTACATTCATTTATAAGCGCACAATTTTTGGATTAATGATCACTAATTTGACGTGAAAATTAGAAGCATTTGTGAGAAAGATAGTAATTCAAGTGACTACACACCTCGGTAGGTCGAATTTACAAAAGAATGGCATCGAAACAAAGATTAAAACGATAATAATTTCTTTGAATTAGTAATATTCAAAAATTTTTAAGCAAGAAAATGGGGAGATAAAGAAAGAGCCAGATGTATCTGGGTCTCTAGGAGACTGTCTAATACTCTTTTCTAACATTTTCATCTTCTTTCTTTTCATTTCGATGTGCTTTGTCGATTTCTCGCCAGGCGAGCGAGCTTTTCCAGTACCCACTGCTCATGTGCTATGCCCAATTAAAATTAATTCAATTAAATCATCATCTCAATTAACATATGTTTCGAGACGCAGCATGAAATCTATTCAAAACCACATTGATCAATTCATTCACAAAAGTGCACGCATCAAGTACGATACTAATCACAGACAAATTCATGTTAACGCTTAACGGTATGCAGATATTTCATATTATTGCTATACACTTTATTGTTATTTCAAAAAATTATTTTCTTTTTCGGATCACCGCCTTTATTTCAACACACAGATAGAAAGAGAAAAAAAAAGAAAGCCAAATTTGAGCGAGAAACGTTTCATGATAGAATTTTGTGCTGTCTTTATTTCTGTGTTTTCGTCGATACATTTTTTTCTCTGTTTGCGAACATTGGATTTTTTATGAAATGGAGCAAAACGATTGATACACACAGGTCCACAAAAAAAAAATGAAATAAACGATAAATAACAATATCTGGTAATAATTTATTGTGTATCGATGCCATATAACGGTATATACAAGTGAGTTCGGCAAACATGCATTGGCCATATCATTTGAGTAGATCGCGGTGTTCAATAAACTGTCTGAAAATCGATGCCACCGCACACTCGAAGGCTTTTTAATCAATTTGTATATACAATTTATATAAATATGGGCGTACTGTAATCGTCTTGTTTCGAAGCGAAAATAAAAAGAAACATATTTGAGATGAACGTTATTGTGTGGTAACAGATGAACAAATATTCGGATTAGTAAAATCGTTTGCGTACTATACATTCAATGTTCAGACAGACGTACAAATATTTCAAACGGTGAAAAACAAAGGAACGCACTTAAATGCTGAAAAATCGCTCTTTATCGGCGCGCTTTCAAAACTGACAAATAAACTCACTATTCTCTACTCCTTTCTCTCTCTTTCTCTGCCTCTTTCTCTCGATCGTTTGAGAAAAGAACCTGAAACATCATTTGGACGACCAGACACCAAACCCAATTGAAAGCTACACGCATTATTGGCCTGAAATCCATCACAAAACGAAAAATCACTTCGAAATCGTAGTTATGTATGCGCACACATTCACGAAAAATATGATCGGAATGCTGAGGCCCGTTTTGAAGATTATTTGATGTGATGGCATTTCATCATCACAATTCGGGCTCATCATTCTCCCTGTTTACAAATCAACATGAGCATTGCGTCACGAAATGTGTGTTCCGTTGGTGTGGTTTCAAGTGCCTATGCCGTTGTTTCTTCTTTTATTGCCTATTGCTCCTTTTCTGTTTACTTGACCTAAATAATTCTCCTACGACGTTAAATCACACACGAAACATTGATACCCTCAACAAAAAAAACTGTTCCCATGAGATCGAGAGACTAAACAAAATGTTTCGGTCATTGCGACGACAAATTGAATTGATGAATGTAGAGAGAGCGAAAAAAACAACAAGACAAAACGTTCAATTTGAAGTAGTCAATTTGCTTGAATTTTCAATTCAATTTTTTTTAAAAGGCGATGAAAAAAACGCGTCCGAAAAAAGTGGCTTCGCATTTTAAAAATGTTGACATCGGATATTGGCGCACGCGAAAGCAATTTACAGTTGAGACACAAATCATATGTGCTAAAAAAATTCAAATAAAAACAATAAACATTCAAACGGTGTCAAAATCAAAATCCATGGGAATGGAATGCGGTATTTAAATTGGTAAAATATTTTTTTCCCATTTCATTCCCTCTTTCTCTTCGTACGTTGGCATTCCATTTCACTGTGATGGTAATCGCAATACCAACCAGCAAACTTGCTCTGTCGCACATCGCACAAGAAGGAAAAAGAGAGATGGAAAAAAAGGCATACATATTCGTATGTAGCTTAGTTTAGATCGTTTTTTTTTTTCTTCTTTCGAATTCAAGTTTTTCGTATCCGTCCAAAACTTGAAATTCACATATTTAGTTAGCACAATATAAATATGCAATCAATCAAACGATCAATGCTTTACATGTTTGTGTTCGTACTGAGCGTTTGTATTTATTGGAGTTCATTGAATTTGCCATTGTCGTCACCGTCGTTGTCGGTTAAAATGTAAAAAGTCCCAAATATTACGAGATAAACAAACATATAAATATGATAAACATAAAATAAGCGTAACTCATCCAAACGATGAAAAAAAAAAACTGCAACATAACAAAGAACCAAAAGAAAAAACAATGAAGAATTCGACCAAATGAAAAAACCAAAACACAAGTCCGCAAAAACACAATGCGCTGTATGTATCTCGTGAAAAAGTTAACGCCACCGCCGTCATTGCTAATAAATTTGTGTGTTGGCCAATTCGAAAAACTGGCAAACGCCGCCATTGGCTTGCAAATATACTTTGGTCGAAAATAGAAAATAGGAGATTGCTATGAATTTCAATTTATTTTTGGCTTTCGAATGTATATCCGCATCTGAAAATTGGTTGGTGCCTCTCTTTTCGTTATTTATACACATTGGCCTGATATAATGTCTGCGAGACGACGTCGTCTACACAAATTAAAAAGTCCACACGTCGGACGATTCTCTGGTGTGGATGTAGCAACAAAATGGAATGTCGCACGATCATAGCCAGCTATCTCTATTTGTCGAACTATATATATTAAACAGTTTTTTTTTGGTTCGTCATTCGTCCGCTCTTTATTTCGTTTATATATATTTTAGACGCCGTGTACTCTATTTCCGTTTAAGTGGCGACAAATTTCAACGACATTTTTTTTTCATTTGCATTACACGATTCCATTTATGATCGAGTTTTTTCCCTGTCATTCAACTAGAGTAATTCTTTGATGAACATTTTTTCCTGTTGATTAAATTTTTTGTGAATAAAAAATGACCGTTTTTTCAACTTTTTTTAATCAGTTCTTTTTTTTTATTTTTACGACAAGTCAAATCGCTTTTTGTGGCTTATCAAATTCTTTTTTTGTTGGTGCTTATCACGTTTTATTTAAAAACATAAATATGCTGAAGTGCGATATGGCGACTGTAATTCACAAGACATTAACCTGACTTGCAAGAGTTTTACGACCACTAACCGAACGAAAAATAAAAAATCAACGAATCACGTTCATACTGAGCGCTCCTTATTTATCGCTTCGGAAGCATGGTGTACGAAAATACGAGCGCCCATACACTATTAAATAGAAATTATAATAAAAATCACTTGTTTTGTTTTGTGTGTGTGTGCGCCGCCGTCGTCAGAGTGTTTATGAATGAAATATGCTTTTAGCCACCGGATATGAATTGATATTAAAATGGTTCTCAATTTCAATTATATTCGCTATTTTCTCGTTACTTCTGTTTTTTGTTGTTGTTGCTCTTTTGCCTCGACATTCTTGCACTGTGTTTGTGTTGTGCCGTTTCACATTGAACATGATGAAGAAAGAAAAAAATAAGAAACTAACGCAATGTTGCTAGTCAACCGAAAGCACTATTATCACATCTTAATTGGCCTCGGTTTCTTTCTCATAATTCGCTTAGACGTGAATTCCTGTGATTTCTGCATCCGATTTCTTGTCGCACTCGGTTTCCAAGTATCAACTAGCACCGAATCGAATGGCTATAATATATAGCGACAAGTGCCTTCGTTTTTTTTTTATTTTCGTGCATACACACGCATCCGAGACAGACAATCATACAACAGCATTCGGTGCCATGGGTTTCTCGCTCTCTGGCTCTGTGCTACTTGTAGTTTATTTGTATCTCTGCAATATAAACACACAATGCGTTGTACAGACGCTTTTAGTTGCAATAGTGCTACATTCATAGCTGTACATGTTCAATTTTAAGAGAGGCCATTAAATTGCACCATGCACATGAATTCAATCGTCGGTTTGAATCACTACGTCTCACACCATTATAAAATGTGAACATTTTTTGGCATTTCAAATTCATTCATAAATACGCTCGATTCATTCATTAATATTTTTTGTTGTTGTTGCTGCCGTTGCCGTTGATGTTGTTGACTGCTATACTAACTGCTATGCACTTCGATTCGGCTCGGGGTCTGATTCGTTATGTATATGGACTGCATTTTTCTACAAAAACAATCTCCCTCTATCGATGTGTGTGCGTGTGCAATGTGCATATCTCTTGCTCTTGCTTCTATTCGATATGATACCGCATAACAAAGTCGATTAACTCAATGGATGGATGGATGAATGAATGGATATTCGTTCGACGCATGCAACACAATACAAAACACACATACACACACATACATAACATTTATCCATATTCCGCTAGCAAATTGTACGAATTTTTACATTGAGCTTGAAGCTCATTCATCGCTTTGGCATTCATGTGCTTCTTTCATTCACTCGCCCGTCTGCCCGCACCCGTTCGCTCGCTCATTTGCTCTCGCTCTCTCGTACACATGGACTCATTTACTTAGATCGGAAATTTAGATTATTACCAACAGGATATAACATATTATTGTTATGATGATGATTTTGTGAATGAATGAACGCTGTGCAGCTAGTGAAAAAGGCCAGCCACAGATTTGTGTGTGAGTACAATATATTTATTTGTTGTTTTTCAATTCTACACGAAATATAAGATGAATACAAAGAACCAAAGCAAACTGAATCTGCGCTAAACGAATTAAAAATGTAAAACAAAAAAAATTGAAGCAGTAAACGATTTATACATGTATTGAAAGAGTAAGAACGATAGAAAAATTAAATGCTACATAAAATAAGCATTAAAAATTTCACGTAATCGTAACTAGAATATTTAATTAAATTTGAATTATGCGCCTGCTTAGTTTTCATGATTGCGATGGAATTTAATTTCATAACCCATTTAAAACGGTTTTTTATTTTCAATTTGTAATTTTGATTTGTGATGACCTTTAGATTACCTGTCGTTAAATCGTGCTTATCTGTCCAGTTGCTCAAGCTTGACAGAAAAGAAAAAGAGAGAACATGATAAAAAAAAAGCATAGCCACATGGGAGAACGCTTGCGCACGCGCACAAGGCAAATCATTAAAGCAATCGTCAAATGAATATGTGCAATAACGTGACAAACACATCATAATTCATGAATGAATTGTGAAAACTTAGTCAGAAAAACGTTATTGCTATTGGAATGGGCTGATTTCGAATTCGGTGTCATTCGGTATCTCTCTCTCTCCCGCTCTCGCTCGCTTGCTCCATATAAAAGCAAACACAGAAAAACACGCCAAATAAAAACAAACGAAACAAATAAAAAAAAACTGAATGAAATGTTTCGTACACACGTTAATTTATTCTTTCAACATTTCAACACCGTGCGCGCATCCAGAGAAAGGGAGAGCGTGTGACGGGCGAAATATTTCTCATTGCTATATTTGTAGTGTGTTTTGTGTCTAACTCTATTTCTCTATTTGTCGGTGTTGCTGCTGTTGCGGCGGCCGTTGCTTTTTTTCATTTATAGAAATGTGCTTCGGCAATTGCATTTGTGTGTTTAAAATGTGTGATAATGGATATTATTATTCAACGACCGGAAGAAGCAGCGGTTAATTGTTTTTCTATGTAATTTTGACGCTTTTCGCATTAGAATCCATGTGATTTTCTCTCTTTTTCTGTTCTTTTTTTAGCTCAGTTTCTTTTTTTTCCCTCGCTCATTTGATCGTAATGTGTTTTGTTATTGTCGAAAGAGTTCTGCTTCAATTCATAATACCATTTCATGGCGTTGGCGATCGTGATTCGATTGTGTATGTAGTTGTGTGTGTGTGGTGCATGGCCAACAATGCCAATTTCACTGTGCAATCTGATAAATGTGCCGCTTGATGAATTTTGACTGCTTTATTTGAAGTTGATTTAGATTCGCTTGTCATTGCACTGAGATTGTATTGCACCGTTGCCACTTCAACAAGAGTGTATGAGAGGGAGAGAAAGACGATATCGGTGCTTTTCGAATTGTTTTTTACTCTGGCGTTTCCAACCTTTTTTTTCTCCTCCATTCAATTCAGTAAGACCGTTTTTTTGCGATATTTCTGCTTCCTGTAAAAATGGCTTCATCGGCTTCTATATAAATGAAAAGTCACGACACAGTGACAAAACGAAAAGACAATATGAAACCGACGAAAGTGCTGGGTGAACGAGTTTGAGGTTTTTGTTTGGTGAAAATGCAGAGAAAGAGAAAGAAAAGAAGGCAACCACGATTTTGAGTTTAGTCGCTTGTACGCGCACGCGTTCTCGTGCGCGTTACGCTCGAGTGCAAAGGAACAATCATTTCGTTAATAATTGGGTTAAACGGTGTTCATTACAGTCCATTTACTATAATGAATATTTTATCCACAAACCAAAGCGACCAGTGGATCACAACCGCATCATTTCGTGTCGATTTCAGTTTCTGAAACATTGAAAACAATTTATTCTTTTACCTTCTTGTGATATTTCAACTTAAAAAATTCTTAAGATACATTTTGCATCATGTGTGCACTAATCGCATTTAATCTCATGATCATTGATCAACGGCAAAGCGTACAATCACTTAATTTTTCTATTGACATGCTTTGTATTGCCGACTTTTTGGAAGACTCCATGAAAAATGCCATAATTCGTCTTTGTGCTATTTAAACAAATTCTCGAT